TGTGGCAATGCACGGGTTCTGTGCCTCTGGCAAGATCCCCAGGGCTGACCAACCCCCCTACCCCACCTCACCTCCCAACCCCCCCTTACCCCATCTCCCCTCCCGTTCCCTCCGACCACCCCCTCCCTCCCCATCTGCTACTGTCCCTAGACCTGGACAGTGCTCCCCAGGGGGTGGTCAAGCCCACCATCCACCTTCCCCCTTCCCCCCCCATCCCCCTTTCCCAGGACAGTATTGGATCCTCCTCTCCTTATCTGCTCCTGCTCCCTAGACCCGTAGCCCTATAGCAGTGCTCCCCAAAGTCCAGCCAAGGAAAGCCCCTTAAATATGTGCCACACTCCACTGGAGGGCAAGTACATGGGGTGTCATGCTGTAACACCAACCACCATGCACATGGGAGCTTTCCGGCATTGAACCCCCCCCAACCCCCCCTCCCCCCCCCTCTGTACAACGCACTTGTTGCTACAGAACCGTGACACTGTGTTCTTGGAAGATGGACATATTATTTCAGCTTTTTTTAAGTTTTTTATTAATAGGTGCCACTGGCCGGAGCTGGAAGATGGCAATATTATTTCTAATTGATTAATAGGTGCCATTGGCCAGAGTCGGACCAAGGTGGTGCAACTCTGTAACCTAGCCTGCCGGGGGCGCCAGGCCTGGGTAGCAAGATCTGGTGGGCTGTTTGGAGGGGGCAGCGTCAGTGGCCAACAGGGGTTGAAGCCATGGCCATAGCCGGAGCAAGGTCGCGCGACTCTGTAAACCAGCTTGTTGGGGGCATGAGGCTTGGTAGAGAGATTTGTTTTTTTTCTTCGAATATGGCTTGTGTTGGCAGATGTTTTTGCCGGGTTTCAGCGGGTATTCATTACTTTCATTGAGTTTGGGTGACTCAGCAGAGCTTAGTTCTGGCAGGTTGGTAGTTGATTACAAATGCTCTTGATTTTTTTCTCCGAATCTTCTCATTGCTCTCAGCCGAAGCCGGGTAATGACCCTGGTATCTCGTGTTCATCAGGGACGCTGGGCCTGGTTCGCAGCACGTGTTGCGCCCCACGAATAAATTGGAGTATTGCCGTCTCCYCCCCCCCCCCCCCCCCCCCCCAACCAAGAAACAAAAAAGGTGCCACTGTGTGAGGTGCAGGTTTCAAGTTCACGTTATAGGCCCACACGAAGTGAGAGACAGAAATAGGGTGACTTGCAAGATGAATATCTGATGGAAGCACCTTTTCTTTCCCATTTCTTAGCTTCTCGTCTTTTCTTCTTTTGTTCTCTTTCCTTTCTTGTCATTCTCTCCTTCCGCACTTTCCTCTCTTCCTTCCGTCCGTTAATCCATTACTTCGCTTACATTTCCTTCATTGCTTTCACCATTTTTCTTTGTTCTATTTTCAGAGAAGGAAATCCTTCGCTTTCGTCATCAAAGGGACTTCCTTAGCTTAAAGAAAAGAATGAAAAGAAAGAAGAGAAAGGAAGAAAGGAAGAAAGGAAGAAAAATCGATGGAGCCTCCGGGGATTTTTTTGCTCTTCAAAAAAAAAAAGAGAGAAAAAAAAGAAAAGAAAAGAAAAGAAAGGACGAAAAATAGATGGAGAGGAGCCTCCCTGTTGGAGTACCAGCAGCTCAAGCTGCCTCCGGGGATTGTTTTGCTCTTAAAAAAAAAAAAAAAAAAAAAAAAAAAAAGAACAAAAGAAAGAAAGAGAAGGAAATCCTTTTTGCAAAGTCTCAATTCTTAGAATGGTGAGAGAATCCAAACAATAGAGTATCTTGCTTCTTTGATGGCTCCTTTGTAACGATCGGGAGCAGCACCTTCACCTGCTCAAATAAGACTTAACAGACAGACGAGCGAAGCAATGAGTACGAGTTCTCAAAAGCATCCTCCTTCACTTAGTTTATCCAAGTCCTTGTCCTATTTTTGACTCACTGGGAACTTTGGCAAGTACCATGTTGGCCCTTGTTGGGTCCCCTTGTCGCATATGTATCTCTCTTTTCCTCCTTTTTTTGGTCCGATCTATTTGTGGAGAGCAGCACATGCTGGGAACTGGGCCCCACGTCCCTTTATGAAAATTTCTGACAGACCAATTGAGATACACATCATCATGTTTCATTACAAACAAACAGTGGTTCATATGGTGGGGCATTTATTTACATGGCACTGCGCTTGCTGTATGTCATTGTTTGGTTTGTGACTTTCTAAGTTTTTATTTGCTTTGCCCCTCTCTTTTCCAATTCTTTGCTTTTTACCAATTTTCTTCTTCTTCTTCTTCTTCTTCTTCTTCTTCGTTTTCTTCTTCTTCTTTCTTTCTTTCTTTCTTTCTTTTCTTCTTTAGATTAACGTCTCCCTCCTGTTTGCCTCCAGCTCTTACATAACTGCTCTTTATTATGAACTATAATTAGAATTTTTTTTTTTTCCCCCCCCCTACTCCACTCTACTTTACTCTCCTCCACTTTACGCTTCCCTACTCTTCTCTACTCTACTCTACTCTTCTCTACTCTTCTCTTCCCTACGCTTCTCTTCCCTACACTTTACGCTTCTCTTCCCTACACTTCTCTATTGTACTACACTTCTTTTCCCTACACATCTCTACTCTACGCTTCCCTTCTCTTCTCTACTCTACGCTTTTCTACTCTACATTTCCCTGCTCTTCTCTTCCCTACGCTTTTCTTCCCTACTCGTCTCTATTGTACGCTTCCTTGCTCTACGCTCCCCTGTGCTGCTCTGTTGTGCTCTGCTTTTCTCTGCTATGCTTTGCTCTACACTACTCTTGTCTCCTCTTCTTTGATCTGCTCTTCTCTGCTCTACACTCCTTCACTCTGCTCTTCTCTACTCCACTTTGCCTTATTTTACTCCACTCTGCCTTACTCTACTCCATTCTGCTCTACTCTACTTCACTCGCCTCCACTCCACTCTCCTACACTCTCCTACACTCTCCTACACTCTCCTACACTCCAGTCCACTCCACTTGACTCCACTCCACTCTACGCTACTCTACTCTACTCCACTCTACGTTCCCCTACTCTTCTCTACTCTACTATTCTCTACTATTATCTTCCCTACGCTTCTCTACTCTACACTTCCCTGCTCTTTGTTTCCCTGCTTTACTTTGCTCTTCTCTTCTCTACCCTGCTCTACACTACTCTCCTCTGCTCTGCTATGATCTGCTCTGCCCTGCTCTACACTCCTCCACTCTGCTCTGTTCTACTCTACTATGTTGTATAGTACTCCACTTTCCTCCACTCCACTGTCCACCACTCGGCTTCACTATCCTCCCCTCCCCTCCCATCCACTCCATTCCACTCCACTTCAATACACTCCACTTTACTCCACTCTACTCCGCTCAACTCTACTCCACTCTACTCCGCTCAACTCTACTCCACTCTACTCCGCTCCACTTTACTCCATTCCACTCTACTCTACTCCCTTCTACTCCATTCTACTTCATTCTACTCCACTCAACTCTACTTCACTGTACCCTACTCTATTCTACTCTCCTCCACTCCACTCTGCTCGACTCCACTCTTCTACACTCCATTCTTCTACACTCCATTCCACTCCATTCCACTCCACTCTACTCTGCTCCACTCCACTCCACTCCACTCTACTCCTCTCCACTCCACTCCACTCCACTCCACATTACTCCACTCTACTGTACTCGACTCAACTCTTCTCGACTCGACTCTGCTCTACTCTGCACTACTCTACTCAACTCCACTGTACTCCATTTTACTCTAAACTACTCTTTTTTTAATAGCAAACACTCTTTGAGAAGTAACTATAACTAACAGCCATTCGTTAAAACAGATTTTATATTCTTTGAACGAAATTGAAACCTGCTTATTTGACCCTAAAAATGTCACCGTTTTAGCTCTTGAGGATTCGTTTGGACTTGGTTGAAGTCCAGATACATCGAAGGGGGTCCGGCGTTTTCAGATGGTGACATTCTTAGGGCGAAATAAATAGGTTTCAGTTTTGTTCAAAAAATGTAAAATGTCCCTTTTGACGAAATGGTTGCTAACTATGGTGGAGTCTAGCTTTCAGGTTTCAATTCGCATTCGGAACTTGGAGAAACACTTTCGTCAAGGCGTGCGTTTTAAACGCAGAAAGAGCTCAGGCCAGCCAAAAAGTGTTGTGCAGAATTTTATATGCAGTTTTGTCAACGCCACTCCGGAGGACCTGGCCAAGGCCCATGGCCGGCCTACCAGACCCAAGGGGGGCGGTTTTCAATTCCACCAATTTCCGGCGACGAAAAATTCTGAAAAGAAATCAGGGATGTTGATTAGGTGACTTAGACCCCTCCACATCCTTTTTTTTTTGGTTCTTTAAAAAAAAAAAAAGGTCCGGCCCATGAAACTTCTTCACACGGAAAAGGATGCATATTCCAAAGGGGGTTCGAGACCCATTCCACACATTCCTTATCTACCATAAGGTATCCTTTCCATTTCTTTCCCTTCTTTCCCTTCTTTCCCTAAGGTATCCTTTCCAATTCTTTCCCTCCTTCATTTCCCTCCCTCCTTCATTTCGTTCCATTTTTCCCTCCTTCGTTTCGCTCCTTTTCTCTCCTACTCTTCACTCCTACCTTGTTGGCTTCTTTCTCTTCCCTCCCCTCCATTTCCTTTTTTTTCTTTTCTTTTAATTTGGACCATTTCTAGATTGATGTGTGTCATCCTTGCGCAGGGGCCATGCTAATCTTCTCTGTATCGTTCCAATTTTAACGGATGTCCCGAAGGACCCCTCCCCTCCATTTCCAATTTCCCTCCCTTCACCTTTTTTTTTCATCCTTCTTCTTCTTCTTCGTCTTCTTCTTCTTCTTCTTCTTCTTCTCCTCTTTCTTCTTCTGCTGCTTCTGCTGCTTCTGCTGCTGCTTCTGGTTCTTCTTCTGCTGCTTCTGCTTCTGTTTCACCTTCTTTGTCGTCATTGCCCTTATCAAGTCAGATCCTTTTTTGCGTTTTTTTTGTCATTTCTTCCTCCCTCCCCGTCGTACGCTCGGTTATATTTTTGAAAAACAAGCAGTACCTGGTATCATGCAGGACAGCTCTGCAGTCATCAATGCCATGGGAATGGACCAGCAAAAAGGCACCATCAGCAGGGCAATGGCCGTCAGATTAGGGCCAGCAGCTCCGATGCAATCCTCAAAACCATATGGTCCTGAACAAAAGATGAAGCCCACACCCAGGGCGGAGGAGAGAAACAAAAACAACAACAACAGCAACAACACGGTACCATCAGATGGCCATCCACACTGGTAGGCGAACTCCATGCCCCCTCGCAGGCAATTCCACTGTGATTTGCAGCTGTTGATTTGCATGGACAGATTGTCTTCGAGGGTGATGACGATCACCTGCACTCCTAGGAAGTGACAGTCAATCATTTTCCCATGGTGTTGCAGGCTGGAAAGGGCCAACAGACACGTAACAGAGAAGCCTTGTCTCAAGTTAAGCCACGAGTACTTCCGAGAGTCGGAGCAGCATGCGTGTCGGGACGTGCTGCGAGGAGCAGGCCTGGGGCACTGGCACAAATTCATTGTGTAAGGACCTGCCCAAGCACGGACTGAGAACACAGCTGATTTCTGAGTTTTACCGCTGGAACGAATGCCTTGCTGAGATTCCCGCTTTCTGCTGAGTTTTCTAAGTCTGTGTGTGTGCGTGTTTGCTGGTCTGCGTGCCTGTCTGAGTGCTTGACGACTTGAGTGTATGTGTGACCCGCAAGGGTATTTGCTTGCTTGGGAGGCCCGTACGGCCAGTACTTACCTGTGGCCGAGACATTGAGGGTTGCAGCGGGGAAAACACTCACGTTGCGGGAATAGGCCCGCAACACTTAGAGCAGCGAGGAGAGCAAGTAGGCCGGTACCACACCAAGTAGTGGCAGATGTGTTGAGTACTCGAGGCCGAGCAGAAGAAGACAAAAGTTGGCATTTTTAGAGGCCCAGTTGTTGTTGGCTAGGTCTAGGGAGGTACCAGTCCAAGTAGCCTGAGTCTAGGGCCTGTATGGGGGACATCAGAGTCTGCAATAATGTTTCCCTCTGAAAGGGAGGTACCAGTTGCTTGGAGGCCGTGCGGCCTGGAAGTCACTGCGCAAGAGGCAAGTTGACCGCTATATCTCCAGGAGGAGGGAAGTGCTCCTCCTCATTTGCTGCATGCAAGTTTGGACGTCATGCTGCTAGAGCGATGGAGGAGCAGCGCTAGTGTGCAGTGCTGTGTGGGAAAGAAGGGCGCGCAACTTCCCACCTTGGCTGTGGCGGAGGAGCCCGGCCAGGAGGAGGAGAAAGAAGGGGACTAGAGCAGAGGAGCGCCAGAGGTACTTACCTGGCTGTGGTGGATGCCATCTTCATCACCTTGGTGGGCGCTGCATCTGGAAGGCCCTCGTTGGGGTAGAACTACACCAAGAAGCTTCGAGGCAGAGTCACACATGACGGCCTGAGTGGAAGCAACCATAGCTGCTTTGTGTTGTCTTTTTCACGTCAGGGCAGAGCCCGAGTGGTCCGCCATAACCCTGGCCTATGACAAGGAAGGAGAGAAGGGTGGCCATGGCTATGGTGGACCTCAAGTTGTGCTGGCAGTAAAAGAGGGGTTAGGACATTGATGCTGGTTCTGCCATTCATCATCATTATCCTATCCCTTACGCAGCATTGGCCGCGGAGGGGAGGTCTATGGTCTGCTGCGCACCAGATTCAGGTCGAAGTTTTGGTGAGGGCCGGCGAATGGAGGTGATGGAGGGCGGGGGAGCGTGGAGAGGGACGCGCGTACCGAAATGTTCACAGCGCGCCATTAAAAGAGAGAGCGTGCCCCTAGGGTGGGGCACATGGCGGGCGTTGATGTGGATGAACATCTTGGAGGAGAGCCATCTTTTTTTCGTTCTCCCGCCTGTCGTTTTCTGCCCCCCTTTCCACTTTTCTTTTTTTCATTTTCGCGCCTGTCGTTTTGTGGCCCCCTTTTTTTTTTTCGTTTTCCCGCCGTAAAAGAGAAAAGGGTGGCCCCACGCTTGCCCGCCCCCTCCCCCCC